TGGGTTCTGTCGAACTTCAATCTTGAAAATGGAAAGAAATGAATCGAGTTGGGTTTGTCAAACTTCAATCTTGAAAATGGAAAGAACACCTTGTCGAACTTCAATCTTGAAAATGGAAAAAACATCGGAAAAGATAGAAACAGTAACAGATGGCCAAAGGAGCAATTGTTAGTGGTGATGTGGGACCCACTTCAATGGATTTAGTGCGTTTTTGCCATGTAGCATCTGACATGGCAAAAATTTTATGCATGTCATCACTTTTGTAAGTTTTGCTCTCTACATCATCAAAAAAAATATAAAAAATGCCACCTAAGCAAGGTTAACGGCTCAAATTAACGGAAGAACTAACGGAGTGCATTTCGTATAGTTGAGGGATCAAAAAAGTGCAAAAAATTGTTGAGGGACCAAAAATGTTCATTTCTTAAAGGTGAGGGACCAAATTAAGCATTTAACCTATATTTTTATCCCCTCACCTTATCAAGTTTAAAGGTTTTAACCTCTTATTTTATACTATGACACTTTTAACCCCTTACTTTACTAAATTTATAGGTTTTAACCCCTCACCTATTAAAATCAAAGAAAATAGTCCTGACTTTATACTGACTATTAATTCTGTTAGTTGAAAATATATTTTTATCAACTAATAGTTAACTAATAGTTAATTAACAGAATTAACGAAATATTATAAAATTAGTTTTGTTAGCTGAAGGAAAGTTTTTGATAGTTGACAGTTAACAGTCAAATAACAGTTAGTTAATAGAGTTAACAGTCAGTTAACAAAACTAATAAAATGTTACAAAGTGAGAGCTATTTTCTTCAATTTTAATAGGTAAGGGGCTAAAAGTGTCATAGTATAAGATGATGGGCTAAAAATGTTATGATATAAGGTAAAGGGTTAAAACATTCAAACTTGACAAGATGAGGGGTTAAAAGTAAGCTTTTGTCAAAAATCTAAATAAGGAGGAAAGTTGGGGAGAAACTTTCCCCACCGACCAAATGGTGACCTAAAGGTGAAGAAGGGGATTAGGCTTGATTGAAGAAGATTGGAATTCCAGGTGTGTCCGTACGTTTGTTAGCCACTTTTGTTGGACAACGGCAACTCAAGATTCATTTTCATAAGATAAAACAACAAATGCTGTTTTGGCCTGACTTTCCAATTGATGTCAAGTCTCATTGTTCCCAAACTTCTTGAAAATGACCTCTGCCATGTTAGGGTAGGCTGGGAACTCTTGGCATCCATTCATTGAGATACCCTTATTAAAGACCTATACTCAGGGCATATGAAGCGTGACACAATGGTGCACGTTGCTTGAAATGTGTTGGTTGGGCATAGCTCTAAAGTCCAAACTTAACAACTTATATATATGCGTGCGTACATACATACACACATATATATAAACTAAAATTTAAGAAGGGATTAAAATTTTTTGGGGGCCAATTGATTAAAAAGGATTTTTTTGAGGGCAAATTCATAAAAAAAAATCCATTATATTCTAATGGTTTCCAAAACCTTAATACAATAATAAACTTCGTCCTTATATATCCATGGGAAACTATCCATCCACATTACCATGTAAAAGTTAAAAAAAAAAAAAAAATTTAAAATTATATTATTCCAATAAATTTTTATTAAAAAAATATAAATATCTTATTTTAAAGTGTGAATTAGATTATGTTTAATTTTTTTATCATGATATTTGTTAACATAATATATTTTAAATTTTTTTAATTTTAAAAATAAAATAATAAACATTAATATTATATATTTACTTGCAAAACCAAGATATTTTTAAATTTGTCTACAAACACATCAAAATTGTTCTCAGAATATTTTTAAGAGCACGTCCCCATGTTACTAGATTCTAAATTCCTACTTAGTTTCAGCATACGTTTGCAATAAATCACCCTCAGCTTGACAAAGGGCAGTTAGGGACGGACACGCCTTCCCATGTTCTGAATTAGGCGCACCGCATTTGGAGGGCTTTTGGAAACTGCGTTATTTCTCCAGCCAATTGCAAGGTTTGTCCCCAACCTGCCGAATAACATTTCTGCAAGCATTATGGCCCTGCCTTCTCTGTCATGAATCTTGGACCAGTCACAAAATTATGGCGTAGTGTTTGGTTGGAGAAAAGTTTTTTTTTTTTTTTTTTTTTTTTTATAGATTTTTTAAAAATTTATTATATATATTAAATGTATAATTAATATATTTTTTAAATATTAAATAATATTAAAAATTGCAAAAATTATTATTAATTTCATTACTAAAGTCTTTTGAATTATTTTCATTAGATAGTTAATTAAATAAAAATTAATTTTTATTTTTTTAATACAAATTATTAATATAGAAATATATTTTTAACTTGTGTCTTTATATTAAAAAAACTCTTTTCTAATTTATATAATTTTACATTTTAATATTATAACAAAAAATAGTAAAAATAATATTTTTTTGATTTATTCTTCTTAAGACAATTTTTAATTACTAGAAAACTTTTCTTTCCACACTTTTGACTGGAAAAAGTTTTTTCTTGACTTTCTCTTTGTGAAACTCATTCAATAGTTTTTTTACTAACTTTTTGTATATTAATTTTTTATTAAATTAATAATTTAATAAAATTTTAATAAAATTTGATTACAAAATTTAATAAATTTTTGTAGAGTATTTTTTCCAACCACTTTTCAATAAAAACCTTTTTCATAAAATTAGCTTCTAATTAAATAAGTCTAGGGTTTCACCAAATATTTTAATAAGAAATTGAATACCCATAAGCTACCAAAATCAACATTGGAAAATAATAATAATAATAATAAAACCCATAAGTTTTTCTTTCTAAAATATTTTAATTAATAGAGTACGAAGTGAATTTTATTTAGAGTTCATTATTTTACAATTTAGAATATTTTAAATTGTAAACTAAAAACTCTCAAATATAGAAAAACTCTTAACATTAGAATTTTTTTCAATGTTAATATTTTATAATTAAAAATAAATTACATCGTAAAATATTTTTTCATTTTATTTATATTATATATAAAAAAATGTTAACAAAAATCTGTATATCCAAAGACTGCAGGTTAGTGTGTTCGGCATTCCATGACCGTTATTGGGCCGTCCCATTCGATGACCACTCCACAATAGTTGGTATTTTTTTGTTTTGTGGTCAATTCCAAACAATCTTTCTCTACGTCAAAAGTAGTTATGACTACTAAAATTATAAAATATTATTTTTAAAAATATTTAATTTATTTAAATTAATTAATAAAATTATTATTTTAATAATTTTTTTATAATAATAATGATCACATTCATCAAAAAAACCCCTTTTTAAAAATTTTGTTGCTACAATAAAAGGCCATGCAAGAGTAAGTAGGAAAATTTATATTAAAAAAATAAAGAAAGGAATATGGTTCGTGGTCTAAATTTAAAATAATTTTCCTTTTATCCAAAACAACTATAGTTTATTATTTAATTTTTATTCTAAATTATTTATTGTTATTTGTTTAAGTTCTCATAAATATTTCTTTCCTTAATTCTAATTCTGTTGTTATTCTTAATTTAAATTATTCTCCTTATCACTATTTTTTTTAATTTTTATATTATTTTTTTAATTTTTAAAATAATATAAGTGAATACATAAATTATCAAAATTTTTACTAATATTGTACATATATAAAAAGATAAAAAACAATAATTGTTTAAGATAAAGAGAGGACTCCAATTTATCATTTTCATATGTAAGTTCTAATTGCCATTTTTTTTTAGTATATTTAATTATAAGTTATATAAGAGAAATAACTCTTTTTTATTCTTAATTTTTTTTTACCAACTCAATACTTAAACTTAAAATTTTTAATTCACAATTTTAAAATTTTAATCATTAAACTATCTTATTGACCTTTTAATTGCCAAATCATATTTCATAGAAAAAGACTTCCTTTTTGGTATCATAGAAAAAGACTTCCAATTACAAAAGAAAAGGTTTGATATTCAGAGTCTGGTACGGATTATAAAACAAGTTTTCGTGTTTTATTAGTAAATTTAGTATTTCCTGTGTCAACCCCAAAAATGAAGATTCTCATCACGAGCCCACCAACTTGCCAAAAGAGAATCCCGCAGTGACAAAAAATAACCTCACCTGCTGGGAAATTCAATCAGACCCTCGATTTTTTCAGGATTTCCAAAAACCTAGAAACAGAATTGCTTAAATAACTATCTTCCTCTCCTTATTTCTAGCGTCCTTGCGCCTCTGTCTGTGCAGAAAAAGCTTCCCTGGGAGAAATTAATAAATTATCCATGGCTGCCACCACTGCTGCTGTCTCTCATCTTCCCTCCTCCTCTCTCTCAACACCCATAACTAAAGGTACTGCCTTGGCTCTGAACCCAAGCCAAAGATCCCACCTTTCTCTCTTCACCAAACCCCTCCCTAAACCCTCTTCTCTTCCTCACAAACCCAACTTCGTTCCCTCCTCCCAAAGCCCCATCTCTGAATTTTTCCCCACAAATGAAAGCCACCCAGGTGATGATTCTGCCTTTCTGTTTTCTGATGATGACGATAAGCCCCGTGAAGAGTGCGGTGTTGTGGGTATTTTTGATGACCCGGAAGCGTCTCGCCTCTGCTATTTGGCTCTTCATGCTCTGCAGCATCGCGGACAGGAAGGTGCAGGTATTGTTGCGGTGAATAATAATGTTCTTCAATCTATTACGGGTGTTGGGTTAGTTTCTGATGTGTTCAATGAGTCTAAACTTGATCAGTTGCCCGGAGATATGGCTATTGGGCATGTTAGATACTCTACTGCTGGTTCTTCTATGTTAAAAAATGTTCAGCCATTTGTTGCTGGGTACAGGTTTGGGTCTGTTGGGGTTGCTCATAATGGGAATTTGGTGAATTATAGAGCTTTAAGAGCTAAGCTTGAAGATAATGGTTCAATTTTCAATACTAGTTCCGATACTGAAGTTGTGCTTCATTTGATAGCAATTTCAAAGGCTAGGCCTTTCTTTTTGAGGATTGTGGATGCCTGTGAGAAGCTCGAGGGAGCTTATTCCATGGTGTTTGTGACAGAGGATAAGCTTGTTGCGGTGCGTGACCCATTTGGGTTTAGGCCTTTGGTGATGGGGAGGAGGAGTAATGGTGCTGTGGTGTTTGCCTCGGAGACTTGTGCTCTTGATTTGATTGAGGCCACGTATGAGAGAGAAGTCCATCCTGGTGAAGTTCTGGTGGTGGACAAAAAGGATGGGGTTCAGTCACTGTGTTTGATGCGTCACCCTGAGCCTAAGCAGTGTATTTTTGAGCATATCTATTTTGCTCTGCCTAATTCTGTCGTGTTTGGTAGGTCTGTTTATGAGTCTCGTCACATCTTTGGTGAAATACTTGCCACTGAGGCTCCCGTTGATTGTGATGTTGTCATTGCGGTGCCTGATTCTGGAGTGGTGGCTGCTCTGGGTTATGCAGCCAAAGCAGGGGTGCCATTCCAGCAAGGGTTGATCAGGTCTCATTACGTTGGGAGAACTTTCATTGAACCTTCACAGAAGATTAGGGACTTTGGTGTCAAACTCAAGCTTTCACCTGTCCGTGGTGTTTTGGAAGGGAAGAGGGTTGTGGTTGTGGATGATTCAATTGTGAGAGGAACTACTTCTTCAAAAATTGTTAGGTTGATTAAGGAGGCAGGTGCTAAGGAGGTTCACATGAGGATTGCCAGCCCTCCAATTATTGGGTCTTGTTATTATGGAGTTGACACACCAAGCTCTGAGGAATTGATATCTAATAGGATGAGTGTGGAGGAGATTAGGGAGTTCATCGGATGTGATTCACTGGCTTTTCTGCCATTTGATAGCTTGAAGAAGATGTTGGGTAGTGAATCTCCAAACTTCTGTTATGCTTGCTTCTCTGGGAAGTACCCGGTTATGCCAAGGGAGGTTAAAGTGAAACGGCTTGGTGATTTTTTGGATGATGGGTTAAATGGACCTATAGATTCCATTGATGGAGGTTGGGTTACAGGTCCTCGGCAGTCCAATATTGAGAAAAAGATAGATGTGCAGTATCAACAGAGCAAGATTTAGCCATAACAGGCATGTGATGCAGTGAAGAATCTTTGATGCTCCAAATACAATAATGTTTATTTGTTTCCTTGGATGAAGTATGTCCTAAACTCTAAAAGCTCGTACAATTTTGTCTGGTCATCTTAGTTCTGCTTACCTAATTTGATTTATGTATCGGTTGGTTTTTTGCCTTGATTATAGACAATGGAAATGAGGTTGAACTTTTCATTAACATTGCTATTTGCTCCAGTGAGGTTGTAGGCCCTTCCCCTCTGTTATTCTACCCAGCTGAATATTCAATGTTGTTTCCTTCTAAAGCAATCAAATGATACCTTTGTCAGTCTTTTGAATTAGATCGCGTGCAATATCTGTTCTTATTAATTAGAGCAATCAAGTCAATTACAATGTCCAAATGAAGCCAAAGTTAATCAATCAACTGTAAAATTCCCATTTGTTAGGGGTTCCGGTAAATGGTATGAAGAATCAATGATGGAAGTTAACCATGTTTCGAGAAATTTAAAGGCGAAAGGAAGGATTATTACTAACCCTAATGGTGGCATGCTTTATTATTAAATAAAAGGCTTGTTTTGGGGCTCTGTTTCTCCCATTGCTTATATAAGAGTGAAGGTCTGAGCAACTTTGTCTCATACTCTCCTGTAACCTAACTGTAACAAGTAATTAATTCAAGTCTTATTGGTTCTCGATTCACATTTTGTGCTATTTTGTTCCCTCACAGTCACAGCAAAAGGTGATGTATATTATTGAATGTAACTTTTTTTCTATCTTGTTTACGCATGGTTACATCAATACAGCCTTAAGCAGACTGATCTTTCATGATCAAGGTGCTGCTGTCTTCAGTAGAGTACCTAAATTCTATTTATTATGGCAACCATACCTGACAAAAATTTTAGTTACCCAATGAGAACTTGGCAGACAAGAACTATCCAGTATTCATTGCTAAGCTAAAACTTCCTGGAAAGTATGAATTTTCTTACATAACAAAGGGTATGAATTGCCTAAACATCCACAGTATTATGGACCAACCAAAAATGAAGATCCTCGAACGGGAAAAAAAATGATCTGAAACAATCTACGATCTTTTGATTGAATATGAAAACTGTCAAGCTAGTCATAACATTTATAAGACATGAAAACTACACTGAAATGGAGACAAAAAATTTTTGGATAGCTTCATCAGGATAAAGGATATACTTCCATGATGATTACAGGTAAAGAAGACTTGCTTCTTTCCAGGTTAGTAAATATACCTGATGTCCTGATCTTCCCACACTGCAAGACATTAAACATGTGCTTTAAACATGTATTCTAGTCTCTACATTTCATCCAACATGTTAGAGGGGAAGTATGTGTAATGTGACACAAACCAAAGTTGAAAAGTTCCTTCTTAAATATATCTAGTGTTAGAAATTCAGAACACAGAAAGACTACCCTTCATATCAATAAATAAACCAGATCTCAAAGTCCCAGCAGTTTAGGCTTGTAAGTCATCAGTCCAACTGGATGATTCAATATTCAAAGTGGTTCCAACCAGTAAGAATGGATGCACATGCATCGTTTTTCCAGCATATTTTTCTATGGCTAAAATTGAAAATCAGGCGTGGCTTGCTATTGTATGTACAGAGGAAATGGGACTGCAGTGACTGCTTAACTAAATCAGTAACTACTAAAAAGGAAAGAACATTTTCTAGTAATTTTGGATGATTGTAAATGAAGCTTAATAAAGGAGTACCCAAGGCACTGCCCACCATTTAATGGGACTGAATCTATAAGAAGAAACTAACCTGTGGACATTCTTTTCCAAGCCAAAAGTAATTGCCATCTCTCAGCAAATATAGGGCAGCTATTTCACATAAATAATGTCTTCATCTGGGTCATTGTCTTCCCACTCTCTGTCATCTTGAGGGGAATCAGATGATTCAAATTCTTCTTCATCTTCAACTTCTGCAATCTTTTCCTTAGACTTTATCCTATCTAATATTGCAATCACCTGGAAGGGTCAAAACTGTGTTAGTCCTTTCACAAGAATGAGAACTTAGCAAGGACAACCATATACTAAAATTCGTGATGACCAGTAATCTATTAGAAATGGTTGAGCCTTGCCAGACTCCTGTGAAAAATTCAGGGTATGAGAAGAGTCTCAGTGGAAAATTTTCCATGGATTTTCTCAGCATGTTGCTCAGAAAATTAAATCAACAAAGTAAAAGTACCAAGGACATGTTTGCGCCATCATATCACACACAGTTGCACTAAAATCCTAACCACAAATAGGTGGATGCATAAGGGACATGAAAACCTTCATATACCAGCAAAAACCTTAACCTCAAAGAAGCTAGGGAATCTTTCCAATGCAAAAACCCTTCAGATAAGAAGCTGCATAATCTCGTGCTTATAAATGAAAGAAAGAAGAAATGAAGTACCAAGCCTTATCAGATATCTCAAAATCCAATTATACATTGACAAACATGTATGATTAAAATAAGAAGAAACAGTGAAGTATGAATATTTACCCTGCTTCCTCTCTCCAAAGATTCATCTTCAATAAAGCGAACCTCCGGAGTAAGACGCAACTTCATCCTCTTTCCCAGCTGACTACGAACGTATTTAGCTTTAGACTTCAATCCAGCTAATGCAACCTCCTTCCCTCTCTCATCCCCAAAAACTGAGACATATACTTTAACAACCTATTTATTGGACAACAGAAGGCATTTACTGACAGAAGAAATTCATAATTTAGATTTAGTTATGCCATGAACTCACTGATGAAACCAAGAAGGATTTGCTCAAATACTGAATTAGATTTAATAATCACAATGAAAAGAAAAGAACTTTACTCATCCCTCCACTGAAATACAAATGGGATACATTTGGGAATAGAAAATTTTTACAATTAGTTCGGCATAATCAACCTCCCAGCCTCCTAGGAGATGCCACCATGCCAATCACAACAAGATTTCACACCAAGGTATACAAAATTTGCTGCCCAAATAACTCTAATAATCACAAAGTAATTCCTAATTAAAATTTCGATGAAATTGACCATCCATACCATTCAAACTTCAGAATTGAGAAAATGGGTACCTGTAAATCAGCGGAGACTTCAACATCACTGATGGTAGTGAGTGAAGACAGATAGCGGTCCGCTCCCAAGGCGGCTTCCGGGAGGACAGCATACTGCAAGACCTTGTCGGTCAAGAGCATGTCGGAAAGCTCCCTTCTTATCTGCTGCGCCACCATTTTCACTCTCCTTGGTTTCGCCATGCACCGTATGGTTGCTCCTCTTGTGGGGCGGGTGCACAAGTGAAACTGGGCAACTGGTTTTGGGGTCGGGAAAGAACATGGTTTGAGGCAGACAGTGGCGATTGGAAGGCGCTGGAAGATGTCTGCGGGGAGCATTGCTGCAGGCGTATTGGCTCTTTGAGTTCTGGTTCTCTTCCGAGATGAGCCAGGGGAGGAAGAAAGGAATATTTCTTTTGCAATATCCAGTTATAGAATTGCAAGGGTTATTTGGTCGTTTCATATGAGTTTAATGATATTAAATTTTAAATTTAATTCAAATTTGACTTTTAAGAAACTTGTTATTTAACTACTCCCTTCGTTTTTTTTTTTTAATAAATAGGTTTAATTTAATTTTTTACATATAAATTTTATATAAAAATTTAATATATTAGATAAATAATATATTTTTATTTTAATAATAATATTATTTGGCATTGAATTTATTTTAAATTAATTATTATTATTTATTGTTTAAGATAAATAAATATTTTTTTATTTTAACTTTATCATTATCTATTTATTTTAATCAATTATCCTATCATAAAAAATATTATTTTATCTTTTAACTTTTTTTTCAGAATAATATAAATAAATATATAAATTATTTTCAAATTTTTAATTTTAAAAAATAAAATAATTATTATTATTTTGAGAGAAATAGAGTAATTAAAATTTTTTTACCAAATTGAAGTATTCAATAAGAATTTCATCTAATAAAATATTTTTATTATTATTCATATAAATTCTTAAATTTTTATTTAAAATTTATGTTTAAAAATTTTTTAAATTAAAAAAAATATTAAAAGTGAACAAAAAGTGCAATTTTAATTGAATCACTCCCACAATTTTAAATAAATTTTTAAAAGATGCAAAATATAAAAATAGGAGAAACTTTTTATTTTGTACTAAAAGTTAGTTTTGCGAAATTTAACTCTCTAAATTTGTGACAAGATATGGAAGTTCCATAAAAATAAATATTTTTTTATAGTTCTCTTTGCATTTAAAAACATCAATAAATAAATAAAAATATCTTTAATGAGCTAAAGATACATCATTAATAATATTAAAAATATTATAATTATAATATTATAAGTTTATAATTTAATATATTTTTATATAATTAATATTTTTATTTAAAAACTTATTTATAATTATATATATTTAATTATTTAATATCATATTATATTTACTTAATATTATATAAAATTATAAATTTAAAATTTTATATAATATTATAATTATAACATTACTGTAACAATATTTTTACCATTCTTTATCCTAAGTAGATATTTAATGCAATTCAACCTTTAAAAAGCCATTATCTTTAAAAAAAAGAACTCTTTTGGATCTATAACCACTTTAAAAACTCTCTCCTTTCATATTTCAGAACTATTTTCATGAAATAAGGTCAGAGAACAAATTTTACAGTTTCTTCCATCATCTTATTTCTGTGGAAATAAAGTATGCTTAAGATTTAAAGTAAAATCTTATTGTAATTTCCCTTGTTATATTGCCGAATAATCTATGTAGTGTTGTTTCCCTCGACTTCGAACAAAGTAATAGGATTTAAAATAAATAAATTCTAGCTTTATCAAACATCTTAATTTAACTTTCATCAAAAAATTTATTTGGGATGATCATAAATAGTTCAAATAAATTGTGGCACGTCCAATAACCTATTATTTGCCTAAAATGATTTCTAATAAGTTTTTTTAAGGTAAAAACGAGTTCAAATATTGAGAATTCTATTTTATACCTCCTCCTATATGTATCAACACTTCTCTTTTGAATTTCTTA